TGTATTATTTTTGTTCGAGTTTATGGGGTCTTTTATTCTTTGTTTGTTGATTTCTCGGCCTCTTCTTCTTTATTCGTCTTCCTTCTCTCGTCTTCCCTCATATCGTCAGCATGTGAATGTCTTAGCTCATATTTCGTTTTATGTTTTGGAACTCTTACGTCCTTCCATACTCCTCTGTTCTAGCCTTTTCCCCTTTTCTCGTTCATTCTCTCTTTACTCTTCTTGGTTCCTCTCCCCTTCTGTTGCTACTCATAGTCATCTTCACGGCTCGTCCATCATAAAATACTTGTCTATTACTCTTCTCAACTATCTTTCATTATCACAGCCAATTCTTTCTTCTGGGTGGGTTCTTGCTGCTTTGCCATGTCCCACTTCATCCTCTCTTATGACTACCTTCTCCTCGCTCTATAACTTTCAAGTTTAGTCATAGCTTATTTAATTTAAGATAATCACATATATTTATATCTGTCGTTTTATTTAATTCTAATTATTCTTTTCTTGGCATTCTACTATCATTCATCTAAGACCTTTTGTCGTTATCGTGTCGTATTAGGCCGATCTGCATGCTTGGCAAATTACTCTCTTCTTCTCTCAACTCTCATGGGGCCTATGCTTTAATTTTTCTTTATATCTCTTCTACCCATTGATATATTTTATTTCGAAATTGCAAATTATTTGATAACTAAATAATATTAAGTCTTATTCATATTGTTCATACACTTATACTTTGATTAATCACTTCTAAGCTCTACTATAATTCTTCACAGTCTTCTCTTGTCTTCCTCTTCGCCGTTTCTGTTTCGGTCCTTTCGGATCTTTCCCATAGGGCGTCGTTCTCTTTGCCACGTCTCTTCCCGTATTCCGCTTTCTCTGCTCTTTTTGCTCCGTCTCTATCTGCCTACTTCATTTAATCTATCTTCGGTACCATCCGTCATATCTTTTCAGCATCTCCTCGATCGCTTTCATCTTCTCCTTTCACCTTATTTCTCTAAAGGATCCTCCTATCTCTTTCTCTTCTTCTTTAGCTCTCTTCTCATTCATATTTTCCCATTTCTCTTCATTTTCAATATATAAAACAATATATAATATACTGAAATTCTCTCCCAAACCCAAGCCAAAATTCATTTTATGATTCATCTATCTTGCTCTTTCATCTATTATCTCTCTATATCGTTTCTCGTATGCCTTCCCTCCGTTCCAAGTTTCAGTTTACTTTTTTGCATTTTGAGTCTTCATTCTCGTCTCTTGTCTTCGACCTGCTTCTGCTCTAATTTTCTTTTCTATTTAGGCTTCCAACTATTCTTTCACTCTGCTTTATCACTTCACTCCTTCCAGTCTCCAGTTCTGTCTCTCTGTTATTGGGTCATTCTTTGTCTACAATCTCTTTTTCCTATCCTGTCTCTTTCTCCGTCCATACCTGTTCTCTCTACTATTCTATCTCTCTGGATGCTGGTCGATCTTCTATTCTCTCTCCTCTCTTCCCTCTATTTCTTTAATTTCCTCCTTCTTCTTCCGCTTCAAATCTCTCTCTCTTCATCTGTCTCTCTTGTTCTTAGTTTCTTCCTCTCAGTATCAGCATCTCTCTCTCGCTGTCGTTGTCTCCTTCTTATATCATGTTCTTCGGCACGCTCTCTGCCTCTCTTCCTCCTCTTCTTCTCCCCATCTCCGATCTCTTCCACATTATCCTTCTAAGGTGACCCAGTCTGTGGCTCGTCCATCGCGATGTCTCTCATATATGTGCATTCATTTCTCTTCTATCTCTCTCTTTCCGTCTCGCTGGTTCTTCTTATTCATTTGTCATTTCCAATTCTCTTCTTCCCTACTTGTTCACTATCTCGGGGTGTCGTTTCCTTACGTTTCATTCTATTAGGCCCCCCCCCCCTTCAGTTTCATTCTCTCGGCCTTTGTCCCGTACTCTGTCTTCCCCCTCTTTCTCGCACTTGCTCAGCCTATCTCTTTTCCTTCACGGCTTCCTGCTTCCCTCTGTGTAGTTCTCGTCGATTCGGTTTCCATGTCTCATTCTTCAACATAAGGATAGGATTCCTCCAACAAGTCCCTGGAAGTTACTTTCTCTCGAATGCGGCTTACCAAATGGTCAAAGGCCGCAGTATGGTCAATACACAACATAAACATTACAGACCTAGGAAGCAATATTAAAAGACTTAAAGCAATTTTAAAAACAAAACAAAACAATCACAACCTTAAATTGCTTGTTTCCTAAACAAAACTAACCATAAAACTTGGTGACCATGCGAGGTTAAATGGGTACAGGGATTTAAAAGTTCTTGGTGACAAGAGGGTGATGGTGCTGATTAAGGATTATAATGCAAAGGTGCATTTGTGTCCAGATGGTGTGCGTGAGCATGGTATCTTAAGTTCTTATTAAAGTCCTTCTGAGTGACTTGGTATTTGTAGAATTTTTCACTATTGCGGGTGATGTGGGGATTAGAACATCTGACCTAAAAAGAGTAGTTGTCTTCAATTATCTTTTAGCGTTGATACTGCCAGAATGGATTGCAGGGTTCGTTATCGTTCTGTCTGTCGTTATCTCTCTCTACTTGGTCTTCTATTACTACCTTCTAGCTCATTTCTTTTCGTGTTGAGTCGTGAGTCTTTCGTCGTGTACTCGCCTCGCTTGCCATTTCTCTCTTCTGACACTTGCCTCTCGCGTTGTTCCTTCACCTCTCATCCATCCTTATCCTATGCTTAGTCTCCATAACTCTCTTTCTCTTTCTCTGACTCCATCTACTCTTAATCACTGTCTGTGCATTCGTTATATCTTTGTTTCGTCTTGCAACATGGTCTCCGTTCTCCTACGCATCTCATCGTCCATTCCACATCGGTATTCGTTCTCTCCTTCTTGTTTGTACTACTTATTTCTTCTGAATCTCTCTTAAATAATTTTTATTCAGTTTAATTGCCTGTTACTCTTTTCCTAGGCTACAACTCCCAGCAATTCTCCAGATCTCTTCGCCATTCGATTTATTCTGTCTGACCTTTCTTTATCTCTTTGTTGCCCACTATATTAACTCTCTTTTTCCAATACTTCATCCTTCCACTTCTATCTCTCCTCTGCCTTCATTTTTCTCTCATTCCTCTTTTTTTGTCTCTCGTGTGACCAATGCTCTCCTCTCTTCTCTCTCTCCTTTCTCGATTCTCAGCTATCTCTTCATTCACGTCTCTGCACTCCATTTTCATTCGTTTTATATCTTCTTTCTGCTCTCTTTCATCCCTTATTCGCTCCTTTACTATCGTTTTAGTGTCGTCTTCATCTCATCTCAGCTACTCTTCAAACGAGTGCTTATCGTCTCTCCTTCTTACTCGATGCCTTCTCTCTCATCTAATCTCTCTATCTCGGTCTGTTCTTGTCCTCCTCTCTCTCTCTGACGATCTCATGTGTTTCTCTCTTCCTCCTACCCTTCTTTTTTATCTCTTCTTTACTTCTTTACTCTCTTGGCGTGTCCAAGTCTGCCGTTCTCTCTTTCTACTCTCGTCGGCTATTATCGAGTCTTCATTCCTTCCTCTCTTTCTGTCTTCGTTCTCACATCGCCTAGTTTTTCTTACTGTTACCCCCCCCCCCCCCCCCCTCCCCCCCTTCCCCTTCTGAGTCGTCTTGTCCCTCTTGCATTTGTCCTCTTCTTCTTCTGATCTTCTCTCTAACTCTCCTCGCGTCTCTCTACAGCTGTTTTGCAAGCCAGGAAACTATCTGCATCGCCGTTGAATTAAATTAACATCTCCCATGATCTTCTAGGAAGGGTATTCATATAAGAGTAACTTAACTTTATGTCTTCTTGATTATATGTTATTCACCTCTTCTACATTGCTATGACTCCTTTCACATTGCTCCAATGGATATGTTGTAGTTTTAGAAGAGTTTTACAAGTCTCGTGCCGTTTCCTTAGCACTGTTTCCTTTCAACTATGATCTTCTTCCTCTCTCTCTTCCCCCCCCATCTCGGCGTCATAGCTCAGTTACTATACTCACGGTCGTGCTTCCTCGTTGCACTTCATTTTCTTTCCCTTTCCGTGCTGGCATTCTTCATTCTCTATTGTCGGACGGCATACGTCTTATAGCTTGCTTCTCACTCTCTCCTCATGTAGATGGAAGTAATCTAGAAAGCAGGTTTTCGCTCAACTTCACGATAACTCTCAGCCTTACTTACCACTCTTTGTTCTCCTTTTCTTACGTTTTTTTTACATTCAAGAAGTGCATGATGATCTGGGCTTCGATTGTGTGATCGTTTCGATCTCTTTATCCTTTTCTTCGGTACATTTTCTCTTTCTCAGCGGGTGCTTATGCTCATACACGGTACATCTGTACTCATTCTCTCTCTCTCGTGCTGTTCTGGCCTCGCTCCCCCTTCTCTTTCCTTTCCAATCAGCACCTAGTTGGTTAACACCCCGAAGGAGCTTCCTCCCTCTTTCCTTGAACCCGGTGCCAAATCCAGAAGCAAAGCCAGGCTCTGATTTGCTGCTGCTCGCATCCTTTTCCCTCCCAGGCTTGCAAGGTAAGCAGGCCAAGGGTTGAGAGAAAGAGAGGGAAGGAAGGAAGGGAAGAAAGAGAGAGAGAGAGAAAGAAAGAGGCTGTCCCTGTGCTGCCTCTGACGTAGAGCTGACACACAGAGAGGGCTTTGGCTTGGCCTCTCCTCCTGAATATTCATGGCCGCTGGACGCCAGGCGGATGGACGTAGGGAAGGCCACGGCAGAGTGGCATGGACTTCCCTTCACCAGCTGACCGCTTTGTGACTCCCCAGCCTCTCTCCTTGCCTTAGTTTTGGCTCTTTCTCTTGTTCTGGGGCTGCACAAGAAGCAAGCAAGGGGCCCCAGCCCGGGGCCGGGGTGCCCTAGATCTGGGGCCATGGGAAGGGGTCAGCGCGCATGACCTCTGGGGAGAAGAAAGGACTCCCCCACTTTCGCCTTGGGAACCGCACCACAACAAAAGGAAGGAGCGCCAAACGATAAGGCGGTGAGTGGACTGCACCCCTCTTTTGTCTCCCCAAAGGCTTCTCGGGATCTATCTATCTATCTATCTATCTATCTATCTATCTATCTATCTATCTATCTATCTATCTCTTCTTTTTTCCCTGAGGGATCTGTACGCTCAGCGTTGTCTGGAAGATGTGAAAGAGTGATGTTTGGAAGAATTGGTTGAAGTATGTGCTCTGACTTCGGCACAAAGTCTCAGCGCTCCATCCTTAACGGCTCTCTGTCTATCTGTCTGTCTATCTATCTATCTATCTGTCTGTCTGTCTGTCTGTCTGTATATCTTTCTGTATATCCTCGTACATACCTACCTACTTACCTATCATATCCATCTGTCCATCCACATACTTATTCTCTACCTACTTACCTACCTACCTATCCCATCCCTCCACCTATCTACCTACCCGTCTTTCTATCTATCTGTCTGTCCATCTACCTATCCTATCTATCTGTCTGTCTGTATATCTATCTGTATATCCTCGTACATACCTACCTACTTACCTATCATATCCATCTATCCATCCACATACTTATTCTCTACCTACTTACCTACCTACTCACCTATCTTATACCCTACCTACCTATCTATCCCATCCCTCCATCTATCTACCTACCCGTCTTTCTATCTGTCTGTCTGTCCATCTACTACCTATCCTATCTATCTATCTTTCTGTCTGTCTGTCTGTATATCTATCTGTATATCCTCGTACATACCTACCTACTTACCTATCATATCGATCTGTCCATCCACATACTTATTCTCTACCTACTTACCTATCTACCTATCTTATACCCTACCTACCTACCTACCTACCTATCTGTATATCTATCTGTATATTCTCGTAGATACCTACCTACTTACCTATCCTATCCATCTATCCATCCACATATTTATTCTCTACTTACTTACCTATCTACCTATCTACCTATCTTATACACTACCTACCTACCTACCTACCTATCCCATCTATCTATCTATCTATCTATCTATCTATCTATCTATCTATCTATCTATCTATCTATCTGTATATCCTCATACATACCAACCTACTTACCTATTATATCCATCTATCTATCCACCTACTTATTATCTGACTGTCTGTCTGTATATCTTTGGGATGGAAGAGGGAGATTTTGAAGAACTGGTTGAAGTATGTGCTGGGATTTTGTCATGACGTTTCAGCGTCCCATCCTTAATGGCCCTACCTATCTAATCTATCTATCTATCGTCCATCCATCCATCCATCCATCCATCCATCCATCCATCTTTCTATCTATCTATGTATCTATCAATCAATCTCTGCATTTACCTATCCATCCACATACTTCTTGTCCACCTACCTATCTACCTATATTATACCTTACCTACCTACCTATTTATCCCATCCATCCATCCATCCATCCATCCACCTACCTACCTACCTACCTACCTACCTACCTACCTACCTACTTATCTATCTATCTATCTATCTATCTATCTATCTATCTATCTATCTATCCACCCATCTGTCTATCTATCTATCTATCTATCTATCTATCTATCTATCTATCTATCTATCAATTGATCTATCTATCTACCTATCCATCCACATACTTATTGTCCACCTACCTATCTACCTATCTATCTTATACCTATCCTATCTATCTATCTATCTATCTATCTATCTATCTATCTATCATCTATCTATCATCTACCTACCGAACTACTGACCCATCTGCCTCTATCTATCTATCTATCTATCTATCTATCTATCTATCTATCTATCTATCCAATATTGCAATAGAAGTTTCCTTTTTGCAATGTGTCCCATCCCGTCCTCTCTCCCCCTTCTCCACAAGCCAACTGGTCAGTCCTGACCTTTCCGAGGTTAGTCGGAGTGGGAGACACCTGACGCAGAGTCAAGCTATATATATATCCCCACCACCCCGGGGTGTAAGCGAATCCCATCTTGGAGTTGCAAGAGGAGCGTTGACTGTTTTCAACGTAAGGCCAAAGGGACGTGGTTGCAGCTGAGCTTTATGCCCCCCCCCTTTAACATTCCCCATATTCCTACCCATTCCCCATATTCACTCTTTTCCCATAATGACTCAATGCCCTGAGTTTCTGGAAGGATGCTGACTTTTTTGGGGAGAGGAGGGTGTGTTGGAGCGCCTTCAGCCCTGTGGGAAAAAGGGAACGCAAAAAGGAAGGGAGGGGAAGGCTTATCCAATGGATTGTTTTGGATGTATTTTCAGGAAAATAGAGACACCGAATTGCAAGGGAAAGCCATCTGTTTGCAAGCCATAACAACACAAACACAACCAAAATAATCACAATGTGCAAATATTTCCCAAACGAAAGCAAAGTCAACACAAATTAGTTACTATTCTTGTTTCCTGAATAGTTACTTTTATGTTACAACTATTTCCTCTCATTATTCAATTGATTAGTTACTTTCTAGCAACTTGGGAAACATAGATCGCAATGCTACAAGGAGCTGGTACATAATACTTTGGGTCAGTGACACCAAAACTGAGTTGTTGTAGGTTTTTCGGGCTATATGGCTATGTTCTAGAAGCATTCTCTCCTGACGTTTTGCCTGCATCTATGGGAAGTATCCTCAGAGGTTGGAAAGTCCTCACAAGCTCTGAGGGTGCTTGCCATAGATGACGGCGAAACGTCAGGAGAGAATGCTTCTAGAACATGGCCATATAGCCCAAAAATCTACAGCAACCCTGCGATTCCAGCCATGTAAGCCTTCGACGGCACCAAAACTCCCAATATTAGCTACGAGGGGCATTCCCATCTCCTCAACTCACTTGGAGAAGTCAACAGGTTGCTCTAAAAGCAATGTTGTGATGTCTACAGGGTCGGGTACCCAACCCTTAGGGATTACATATCGGCTTGGGAAATCGCTAGAGGGATATGTACTAATGGTACAAAAATCACCATTCCCAGGATTGTATGTACGAGGGATGTTCCTTCAAGATTTCCCTTAACCCACTTCCTGAGAAGTAATGAAACTTGGCCCAGTTGTGAGTCCTTCTTTCCATGGGTGCCACCTTGGGACACACACTTTCCCCATCTTTGTAAATGCCTCGCTTTGTAGAACGTTGTGAATTCGGAAATCGGTCTCCTCATCTGAGAAATGGTTGCCCTGCAAAAATGACTCCCTTGTTGGAAAGAGGTGGAAGTCTGATGGTACAAGGTTGGGTGAATAAAGGGGTGCGGTCAAATTTCAAAGCCAAAGTCAAATATCAAAGGAAACAAACACTGAGGCGAACTAACACTGTGGCTTTCTCATACTGAGGCCTACTAGCACTCTGAGGCCCTTCTCCTACAGATGGAGATGCAGTCAAATTTGAAAGCCAATGTCAAATATCAAAGCAAACGAACACTGAGGCAAACTAACACTGAGGCCTTCTCATACTGAGACCTCAGCAGGCTAGGCCTCAATGTGTTAGTAGGCCTCAGTATGAGAAGGCCTCAGTGTTAGTTTGCTTTGATATTCGACTTTGGCTTTGAAATTTGACTGCGTCTTCATCTGTGGGAGAAGGGCCTCAGTGTGTTAGTAGGCCTCAGTATGAGAAGGCCTCAGTGTTAGTTTGCCTCAGTGTTGTTCGCTTTGAAATTTGACTGCATCTCCATCTGTGGGAGAAGGGCCTCAGTGTTTTAGTAGGCCTCAGTATGAGAAGGCCTCAGTGTTAGTTTGCCTCAGTGTTGGTTCGCTTTGAAATTTGACTGCATCTCCATCTGTGGGAGAAGGGCCTCAGTGTGTTAGTAGGCCTCAGTATGAGAAGGCCTCAGTGTTAGTTCGCCTCAGTGTTGGTTCACTTTGAAATCTGACTGCATCTCCATCTGTGAGAAGGGCCTCAGTGTGTTAGTAGGTCTCAGTATGAGAAGACCTCAGTGTTAGTTCGCCTCAGTGTTGGTTCGCTTTGAAATTTGACTGCATCTCCATCTGTGGGAGAAGGGCCTCAGTGTTTTAGTAGGCCTCAGTATGAGAAGGCCTCAGTGTTAGTTCGCCTCAGTGTTGGTTCGCTTTTATTTGACTGCATCTCCATCTGTGGGAGAAGGGCCTCAGTGTGTTAGTAGGCCTCAGTATGAGAAGGCCTCAGTGTTAGTTCGCCTCAGTGTTGGTTCGCTTTGAAATTTGACTGCATCTCCATCTGTGGGAGAAGGGCCTCAGTGTGTTAGTAGGCCTCAGTATGAGAAGGCCTCAGTGTTAGTTCGCCTCAGTGTTTGTTTGCTTTGAAATTTGACTTTGGCTTTGAAATTTGACTGCATCTCCATCTGTGGGAGAAGGGCCTCAGTGTGTTAGTAGGCCTCAGTATGAGAAGGCCTCAGTGTTAGTTCGCCTCAGTGTTTATTCGCTTTGATATTTGACTTTGGCTTTGAAACACCACTTCCACACCTGCAACATTAACACCGTGATGAGTTCTGGGTTATATATTGGCATGTAACCTATAGAGACGTATACCATTACATACATGTAGTCTCAGCATTCTGTGATAAGTAGAAGTGGGTCAGGGGGGATCTTCAATGAACGCCCCTCCTATATGTGTTTGGACTCTCTCCCTGTATACATGAGGCTATTTTATCTCAGTCCCTAAAACCAATGCAGGAAATGGACTCAAAGGGTCTCTTTTGCCCTAGTTGGAATGGGTTCAAGTCTGCCAATGGGACACACAAGGGCTTTTCAGATCTGCTCTGGGTCTGTCTCTCAGCTTCTCTCTCTTTCTCCTTCTCACTGCTATATCTAATCTATCTATTTGGGAAGGATTGGAAGGCACACAGTCATGGCTACACGTAGCCCTGTTCTCCACTTGTTTGTGCCAAAGGATTGATGGCCCATTTCTGTTCCGTCTGTGCGCCTCTGAAGCAATCTGGGACGGCCATATTTCCCCCGTATGTTGATGCCGCAAGTGTGTTGATGCTTCTGTCAAAGCAAGGCATCAGAATCAAAACATGACAACTGTCCAGACTGCAGTTCTTGGCAGGAG